GTGAACTTTATGCTCTTCAAAATTCACGGTACAAAACCCCGGCTCCGTTACTCACACATCGTCACCTTGGAATCTTGCGAAGGCCCAAATATTGCCACCGTAGTTTAGGTCGGATTGTTGTCTACCAACAGCATTCTAACAATATTCCCTTGCTCTGGTCGTTGCATCACTGTGAGGTTGTGAGGATGTTGCCAGGTTTTTGTAATAAAATAAGCGGTCGGAATTTACACTATGTTCCAATAATGAATCTTTCTCCAATGAGCACCGACCTGAATGTTAATTGTGCTCTGTTCAATGTTCGCTCTCTAAATAACAAGGCGACGTTTATGGCTGATGTTATTTTGGAACATAATATTGACTTGCTGTGTTTGACTGAAACTTGGCAACAACCTAATGACTATTTTGCTCTGAACCAAATTCTACCTGCTCACTATCAATATGTGGACCAACCACGTTTAACTGGCCGTGGTGGAGGACTTGCTGTGGTGCATAGATCCAAGCTCAGAGTAAAAACTGTTCCAGTTCCTCATATGACATCATTTGAATGCCTAGCTGTGCTTATTTCTGCTGCTAGACCTTTACTGATTGTGCTTGTCTATCGTCCACCAAAAGTATCTTCTGTTTTCATTTCTGAGCTTTCTGAGTTACTCACCTCACTCAGGCCTATGCACTCTGACATGCTGCTGCTTGGCGATTTTAATGTTCATGTTGATTCTAGTAAATGTTCATTTGCCACTGAATTTTTAAATTTGCTTCAGTGTTTTGACCTCACTCAGAACGTGGACTTCTCTACAAAGGTCATATCTTGGATGTTGTTTGTTCCAATGGCATTTCTCCCACTAATATGCATGGCATTGATCTATTCATATCTGATCATAAGGCTGTTTTCTTTGATCTTCTTTTACCATGTCACCAGCGAGGGCAGCGCGATCCACGCCAGTTCACTTTTAGACATTTAAAAAACGTTAGTCCTCTTGTCCTTATGAATATGCTTAGTCAGATTCCTATACCTGAATCTATAAATCCTGATATCCTAGCGTCCCATTATGATGAAACTCTCTCATCTATATTGAATCATCAGGCTCCTCTTAGAACACGCACTGTAACTTTTTCACATCCTGCTCCTTGGTACACGTCAGAACTGCGCAAACTAAAAGCTGCTGGTCGTCAGCTTGAGCGCCGTTGGAAGAGAACTGGCTTGACGGTCCATGCCCTCGCTTACAGAGACCATGTTTTTAGCTATAAGGAGGAATTGAAGAAAGCTAAAACACTATTATTAAAAATCATCCAAGGCACACATGGTAGTTCTAGAGCTCTCTTTTCTACTGTTAATAAGTTACTGCGTCCTGTGAAATGTTTCCCTCTGGCTCCATCACCAGAGCTTTGCTCTGGGTTTATGGCTTTTTTTAATCAAAAAATTGATTTAATTTACTCTCAATTTCAGCCTATTTTAGCTTAATTGAATTTCCAGTCTCCGTCTTTTCAATTTAATGTAGTTTTTCCATTTTTAATACTGTGCATGAAAGTTTTGTCTTACAGCTTATTAAGTCCTCTAGAGCTACCACTTGCCTACTGGACCCCATGCCAACACACTGGGTGAAAGCTTGTCATGCTTCAATTTGTCCTCTCATTACTCAGGTTATCAATGCATCACTCAGTTCAGGTTTTGTTCCAGCTTGTTTGAAATTGGCTGCCATTACGCCGGTTTTCAAGAAGACTGGTTTAGACCCTGAGAATTTAGCAAATTACAGGCCAATCTCTAATCTCCCATTTCTCACCAAAATACTTGAACGGACAGTAGCAGTCCAGTTAATAGACCATATCGAATCCAATGACTTGTTTGAAGTTTTCCAGTCTGGTTTTAGAAAGAATCACTGCACTGAAACTGCGCTTGTTAGGGTGGCGAATGATCTCTTAATAGCAGCTGATAAGGGTTTGTTGAATTTGCTTGTTTTATTGGACCTTACTGCAGCTTTAATACAGTATGCCATAGCCTACTACTACATCGGCTTCAAAATTCAATTGGCATATCTGGTACTGCACTTGCCTGGTTTCAGTCATATCAGGCAGACAGGCAGCAGTTTATATTGTACATGCTCCCCCTTGGTGACATCATCAGGTGACATGGATTGCAGTTTCATTGTTTTGCAGACGATGTGCAGATATATATAAATATTTGGGTTCTGAATAGGCTGCAGTATGTGCAAAATAGGGTTTTAACCCACGGTAGATCCTGGGAGCACATCAGTCCAACTCTGAAACAGCTTCATTGGCTCCCAGTTCAGTATCGCGTTCGATACGAATTGCTTGTGCTGGTTTTTAAATCTTTGAATGGCCACGCCCCTTCCTACCTTGGTAGTCTGCTCCGGTTGTACTCTCCAGCTCGCACTCTTCACTCCTCTGACTCACATTTACTCAAAGTTCCTCCCTCTAAGCTGCGTACGGTTGGTGACAGGGCATTCAGTGTTGCCGGCCCCAGGCTGTGGAACAGTCTCCCCTCTGAGTTGCGTGCTTGTTCGACCCTGGCTATGTTCAAAGCTAGTCTTAAAACCCACCTTTTCCAGATGGCTTTTGGGTGAACCAGTACTGTGATGTTTTTGATTTTTTTGTAAATTGTGTGTATTGCTTTTACATATTTCTACATGCTATTTTTATTTCTTTTTAAATTTATTTTAATTTGTATTATTATTATTCTTAGTGTATTTTTTTTTTAATCTTTGTTATTTTTATTGTACAGCATCCTTGGGTGTCTTGAAAGGTGCTTATCAAATAATATTATTATTATTATTATAAAAGCCTGTGTTTTTTACTAACACAAACCAGAGGTCAACAGGTGATACAGATTAGTACTCGGGGGACAGAGAGTGGTGATTGGAGCGTGATGGAGGGTCAGGAGTCATGTGTTCTCCCAGAGGATTCTCTGATCTGAGCCAGAGGGATGTGTGACAGTAAGGCATTTAAAGATGGATCACTTTCTAATTCTTTCCAAAACACAACAAAAACATTCAGCACTCAACAGTGAAAGTGAGGAAAGTGAAACCAATTGTTGCTATTTTGAGTCAGATTATCAGTTACAGAACTGAATCAGTGCCCACAAGTGTGTCGCCATAGCCTGTGGTTGTTTTTTATGGCTGCAAGGACCACTGCAACACTGCGACCATGAGAATGACCTCATTGGCACATCACCACCACAGTCATAATTCTGAAAAAAAACATCCAGTCCAGAGCACGTGATCTATAAACTAGAACATTATCCAAATGGATCATCACACATAACTAAACTCTGTCAAAGCAGCACAGAGCACAACTTCATTTTCATCGCTGCCAAGCAAATCACTTCCCTCCTGAAAGTGTGAGAGTGAACAGCTAAAATGTTTTGAACAGCAGAAGATGCTGCGGAGATGAACAGATTATGGGTCAGTGACTGTGAACCCCCCCTATATGTTTAAATATCGCCACCTCAGCCATAGTTCCTTGGATTACTGGAGTTCCCCAGGGGTCAGTTCTTTGTCTACTCCTGTTCTCCTTGTACACTAAGTCACTGGGACCAGTAATCAGCTCCCATGGGTTCTCTTTTCACTGCTATGCTGATGGTTACCCAGCTGTACTTCTCATTTCCATTTTGTCTTTCTGACATCTCTTCATGGATGCATTACAAGTGTTTTCATAAAGTACATCATATTTCTGCTTTCATCAATTGTTTGCAAATGGCTCTTTTCAAATTAGTCCTAGGATGGTCTCTTGATTACCTTGAAACAATACAAAGGTATAGTTTGTACTGAATTCTATGCTGTTATATGCTATAATAGAAGGATAACTGACAAAATCTCTTGGATCTTTATATTTAGCCACATCATCATTTATACAAAAAAAGTTGTATTTGACACTTATTATTCATTTATGTAACCAAGAGAACATTTCCACCTGCTACAAAACATTCAGTCACAGAAACTGAAAATGTGTCTCTACAGTTCATTACAGTAAAAAGGCTCAGCCTCTGTCAGGATCTCACCATAAATTTAATTTATTAAATACCTAAAATTAAAATTAATAAATCAGTGAATCTACTGAAAAACTGCAGATTTATGTTGTTCGATAAGAAGTAAACAGAAAGTGATCATATAAATCTTCAAACAGAAGACTTTTTCTGCTCAATAATTCTGCTTAAGGAATAGAAACAAAGAGAGTTTGTGATTCATCAAAATAATTATAATGAAACTTGAGATGTTAATGAAGGATATTTATGATTGATCTGTAGGAACTGGACTGAGAACTCTGCCTGAAATGCACATCATCATCCTGCCATTCGAATCACTCTTCATTTCTGGTTGGATTGCTTTACAAATCTATGACACCTGTAAGTAACAACAACAACAACAACAACAACAACAACAAATAGTAATAATAATAATAATAATAATAATAATAAAACAACAAAACAATAATAATAATAATAATCATCATCATTATCATCATCATCATAAAAAACAATGATAATAATAATCCTGGTTGTGTTCTTGGGTAAGACACTTAACCCCACCATTGCTGTAGGGGGCACTGCTCTGCTGTACTGCTCACAACATAATGGTGAGGTTCCTTCAGCACATCAGATTTGGAGGTTTAGGGAAGTTTAAGGAGGTTTAAACATTTGTAGGGAATTAAAATTTGGGGGGGGGGCGGGGTTAGGGAGGTTTGGGGAGGTTTAGGGAATTGAGGGAGGTTTAGGAACTTTAAATAAGTTTAGGGAGATTTAGTAAGGTTTAGGGAAGTGGTCTAAGGAAGTATGGGGAGTTACATAGGTTTAAGGAATCTTATGGAGGTTTAGGGAATTTAGGGAAGTTTATGGATGGTTGGGAAGATTAGGAAGGGAGGTTAAGGAAAGTTTAGGGGAGTTTAGGGAGGCTTAAGGAGGGTTAGTAAAGTTTAAGAGGGGTTAGCAGGTTGAAGGACATTGAAGGAGGTTTAATAAACATTTAGGGAAGCTTCAGGAGGTTTGGATACTTTAAGAAAATTTGGGTAGGTTTAGAGAGGGAAGTTTAGGGAAATTAAGAGAGGTTTACTGAGGTTTAAGGAAGAAGGTTTAGAGAATTTAAGGGAAGTTTGGGGAGGTTTATACATGTTTGTTTATAGAGATGTTGAGAGGTTTGGGGACGTCTCTAGAGATTTAGGGGGGAAGGTTATGGAAGTTTAGTTAGGTTCATGTGGTTTTAGGGAGGGCAGTTTATAGGGGTTTGGGGAAGTTTAGGGAGGTGTAGAAAACTAGGAAAGTGCAGGGAGGTTTAGAGAGGGATGTTTAGGTAGGTTTAGGCAAGCTGTGGAAGGTTTTAGGAGATTTAGATATATGTAGAGTGTTTAAGGGAGGATTACGGTGGTGTAAGGAAGTTCAAAGAATATAGGAAAGTTTAAGGATATTTAGGGAAGTTTAGTGAAGTTTAGATGTAGCATAGAATAGAGTCCATGTCTTCACTGATATGGTAGGAGTTTGTCTGGATTAGATCCAAATTATATTCTATAATTACAATATAATATAATGCAAATGTGTTTAGAATAACTAAGTAATTATAATGTAAATTTAACTGTAATTATTTTAATTATACTGTTACTTTTCTCTTTCATCTGTGTGTGAATAAAGGGATGAGGATGAGAGACAGGTAAACTCACCTAAACTCAACATGATTGACAGGTATTTATTTAAATACAACAGCATTTACTTTTATTAACTGTGTCTTTCTTTGTCTGTAACAGAATAAAGAGTAACTTTGAAGCTGGAGGGGAAGCAGATCTTCAGGTAGGACGTGTGAATTTATTTCATTGTTTCTGTAATAAATGCTGTGCTGATGGTGGGGTCAGTCTGAGTGGACTGTTCTGTGGTCAGGTTGGTGAAGATGGTGAAGAAATGGAGGTTCTGTCCTCTCTGTCTAAAAGTCCTGAGTGCTGAGGTAACCACTCTGATATGAGGAGGAGATTTTCACTGTTTGATGATGAAGATGATGATGATGGTGATGATGATGATGAGGATGAGGATGATGGTGATGATGATGATGATGATGGTGATGGTGATGGTGAGGATGATGGTGATGGTGAGGATGATGGTGATGATGATGATGATGATGATGAGGATGATGGTGATGATGATGATGATGATGATGATGATGATGATGGTGATAATAATGATGGTGATGGTGATGATGATGATGATGATGATGATGATGGTGATGATGATGTGTTCTTTACTCTACAGGATCGTTCAGTACTGTAGAAGAACATGTTCCACTGCTGGAGATCTGAACAACCTGAACACAGTCTCACTGATAAACATCTCATACTTACTAAAAGAAGATCACTTATGTAAATAATACAGTTTTTATTCTTTATTCAGCATCACAGTGTCCTTCAGAATGTTTATAAACAGTACATGGCTGTACATTAATCAATATTTTTGTACATTTAAGTTGGAAACGTCCAGTGAGCACTGAGCTCAGATGTGTTACTGAAACTGTCCTGAATATAAGTTTGATTATTTCTGTTTTGCTCATAAAACTCAACATATCATTACAATAAACACAAATAAGCAAATACAGTAAAAATAATGTTGTTGATAAAGTCGTTGATATCTTGTGAGTTAAATTGAAGATCAAGTTTTAAATCCAAATTTCTCTTGGATGCATCCACCCGTCTCATTGATTTATTAAATTCCATCTTCAGCGCCCTTAATTTATCATAACAAAGTAACCAAACTAAGATAACTATAAAAATGATTTATTCCAGTATTAGTTTAACTTCAACTTTATTTAATTTGTTTGGCATCACTTGGACTGTAAGAAGCAGAAAACGGTAAACCAACTTCCAAGACTGAACTTTTGTTAAAAATATCCCTGTGACTGTATTTTTTGTGACTGCATTATTTGTTGTCTTTTCTATAGTGAGCTGTATATTAATATGTTCGCAGCTACATATAGCAACATTCTATCTATTGATTATTAACTAAGTGTAATAAGACATCAATGTATATCTTTTAAACCTCCATATAATATTTAGGGCCATAAAATTAATATGATCACCTGCGTGTCAGTTGACTCTCAACTTCATGTATCTCCACTGTATCTCATGCTTGTTGACACTCAAAAGATCATCTTTTAAGTGTCTTTTAATTGTCGTTTGGACCATCCAAATAAAGTCAAACACAGTCGACCTTAACAGCGCAACATTGTTTTTTATTATCAACCACAGATCAGCTGACTCTCAACATGGTGTACATTGCATTTCTCTTGACAATCAACAAAGAGTTATCTGTCCACTGAATCTCTGAAAATTCACTTGCTTATAGTATCAAGATGCACATTTGGACCACTCAAATAAAGTGAGAGGTGTTTAGTTGTATCCACATTTCAACATCTGCACATTTACACCGATCAGGCATAACATTCTGACCACCTCCTTGTTTCTGCGCTCATTGTCCATTTTATCAGCTCCACTTACTATATAGGTGCACTTTGTAGTTCTACAGTTACAGACTGTAGTCCATCTGTTTCTCTGATACTTTGTTAGCCCCCTTTTACCCTGTTCTTCAGTGGTCAGGACCCCCATGGACCCTCACAGAGCAGGTACTATTTGGGTGGTGGATCATTCTCAGCACTGCAGTAACACTGACGTGGTGGTGGTGTGTTAGTGTGTGTTGTGCTGGTACGAGTGGATCAGACACAGCAGTGCTGCTGGAGTCAGATTAGCATTAGCATTACTGAGTTACACTGAGAATCCCTGTTACCTTTAGTATGTAAGTTAGGTTTTATGGGTACACCCTATCAATCTTATGGGGTGGGTACAGCCATAAACAGTAGCAGTGTTTTAATATATACCTGTAGAACCCAGAATATAATCAACTACCTTAGAATAACCTGCCATTAAAACTACAGGACCACAGTCAGGAGTTCTGGTAGGAATTTTGGGCCCCTTGTCTCACCTCATTTCCTCTAAGGCCAGAGTACATCAAATGGACACACACAATAGACATTAATATTTCAACGTTTGTAGTTCTGTTTAGAATGTTCAGGACAGACAAGGAAGATGAACAAGGGTGAGGGAGAAGTTGTTATAGCTGCATAATTCGAAGTCTTTTTTGAATATAAGCAATATGAATGCATATCAATAAACTGTACAGCTGACAGAAACTTTGAAATGCTTGCATCTTACATCTGACTGTCAAAGCAGGACTTTGTTGTTGACTCGTACAGGACTTGTTGATAGTTATGCTGTTTTAGGGTTGAGGGGTTTCCCCCTTTTCTGTACCTTCAAGCCATCTTCAAATAATAACGCAGTGTACAGTATTACTGGGGGGCGCTGTGGGTGGTTACAAGTAAAGTAAACACATTTTGATGTATTTTTGCCGTGTCATCCTGCATTATTTCAGAAATAAAAAAAAATCGGTAAGGGGCAGATCGCTTAGATGGTCACCAAAACAGTGAACACAGTGCTCTATTTTCTATTAATTTCATATTAATTTCATATTAATTTCATATGGCCATTGACGGAGCAAAAAGGTTAAATTAAACCTGTTCTGTGATGTGTGGATCTGTAGCTTGATGGGCTAATGTTAGATCAGTGAGCTACAGACCCAAACAGTGCCACACACTACAGTACAGGTTTGAATGAGTCTAGGTTTAATACTTAAAGCCACATCGAGACCACAGAAGGTCACAGTTGCTTTAAGTTTACACAGAGAATGGCAGTCAAACTGAGGAATGGTAATGGTTTGGCTGCCTCAGGGGGTTTTGCTGCACTACTTTTGAAAGAACAACTCAAAAATGGTATGAATTGATTGTATAAGTGTGTTTTCTGTAGAGGATGTGTTAACTTTTTCACATAGAAAGTCAAGAGAACAGTTTTTTTCAGGGATATTCAAACATTCGAATGCGACTGTAACCTTATTTTCTGTTAGCAGATCGACGAGCTCTTCATAACCAAATGAAGCATTTCAACTGCAAAACCTTTCAGTAAGGCTGAAAGTCACAGGCACAAAAAAGAACAAAGAACAAAAGTTCATGTTGTGTCGCTACAGTTTCAGAACACTTTGGTGTTTGATATGAAAGCTGTGTGTACAGTTTTATAGAGAGGACTTCATGTCCTGTGTGCGTCAGATAAACATATTAGTGTGTTATCTCTGTCAGGTATGTCTCAAATATGCTGTGGTAAAATGAGAGACTTTGGACCGACTCAGCTTAAGACTGAACCTCAAATCCAAAAAGCCAAAAAATGAACGTGCAGGGAGTCGATTTCTCTCTGTGTAAATCATTTTGATAACTTGGTGAAATTATCTTTAGTCTTTCAAAACACACAGTGACATGAAGTCATAACTGGGGAATTCATGAAAGAGTAACTACACCCTCAGACCTGTAATAATAAAACACACCAGCCTTGATTAAACACATCTTTCCAAACTGTAAAATATCATTTTTAATCATGGTCAGTTCCGCCTCTGCAGCGCCCCCTCTGGTTCAACTCTGCTACAGGCACGGATGACATACTTTGGTATGAAGACACATCACAGTATGTAAATCAGTCAACCAATGTTACCGCCCCCCCAATGATGCCCTACTCGCGCCGCACTCCTAAATATGCATTGGAGCCCAGAGCGAGGAGATAACCACACTCACGCACTGAGCTAAACACCCCCAGCACCACCTCACAAGTCTGTGATACGCCAGCTGTTTGTACCAGCTGTAAATAACCCAGTTAATCTGAGCTTAGTTTGTAATAAACATGTTATGATTTATTGATAATGTTCAACGTATGATTAGTAACCTGAAGGAGTCTCCATTTAGCTGCCGATGTTGCGTCTGATTCACGTGTCGCTTTACAAATCGAGCCGTCCGGCTCACAATTCACTGAACAGAAATCAACGCAAGCAACACTGGAACTACGGAAAAGCGAAAATGACCGAAATGTACGTGATTTGGTTCTCTTACACGAAACACAAAGCATTGTTTCCATTCATGTGGTATTTTAGTATCTTACAAGAAGTAGAGGCTTATAGTGAACGGGCATTTTACACAGCCATAATGCTCATCTGCTCCATGTAAACATTGAAATACCATACATTGTAAAAAAAAAATAAACAAAAAAGTTCAGGTCAATAAGAGCTTATTGTTGTTGTGTTTAGTAAGTAAGAATACAACACTACTGATATCTGGCGTATTCCGATTTACATGTTTTCCTGTCTGAAAGATTTATGTAAAAATAACGCTAAGCCTTTAAATAAGTATATTTTTGTAAGCTTCTTAGCTTTTGCTTTATTGATGTGTTTGTCACTTTCATAATAGCAGTTTGGCCGTTAATGGATGAATGTAAAACACAGATTACTGTTCTGTTCAAGCTGAGTAGATTTATTTAGAGTGGTTTGCTGTGAAATGGCTCATTGTAGAGAAAACAAACAACTCAAGATTTCTTTTCAGTGGCGCCGACAGGAACCAGGGGTTGTGATGTCTAATATAGCCATACCCCAATATAGCCATTTAGTACCCAAAACCACCAGAAACCAAGTGTTTTCTGAGTTTTTATATGGAATGTTGATGATGACGAAGATAATGGGGATTAGCTTGCCCTATAACAACCTGTGTAACTCTCGGTCATACATGAGTTTAAAAATAAAACAGACCAAAGCCGTCAGAAACCTACTGTGAAACAATGCATCAGGCATTAAGCACTGTCCATGTAACCATTTCATGTAGGAACTTTCTGTGAGGGAGCTTTTAGAGGTGGACGTCTGGTTCCTATCACCACCACTGTGAACAGTTCTGACTCTGTAAGTTTCTCTTGAACAGAGCGTTTCACACCAAACCACTCTGAACCGCTCTGATAGACTTTATTTACATCTTAACCGTTTAATTATTCAGAAATTTTTAACTTAACTTGCTATTTGTGGTTTATATTTAATTTGTATTTCAAATTCATATTTGAGATGATCAAACCTGTCAAGCCTCCTAGTTTACCAACCTCTCAGTGCAAACTTTGCACTTATTGTCAGATCATTTCAAGCACTCCTACTTATTTATTTTTTACATTTTCTACATAATAAAAATAACTTTTGTTTAAAGTCCTTTGTTCACGTAATGGACCATAGTGTAGGCTACATTATTTGTGGCCTGAAAAAAAGACAAAGCTTTTAAAAATCATACACAAACATCATGAACTACACAAGTATTCAAATCATTCGGGTCAGCCCCAACATCTCATTACAGCTACTTTTAGAAGTGTTTATATAAGATATAATGAATGTGTTATCTAGACACATAAAGCATCACTGTGTCGTCTCTGACGTCATCTTAGCATCACATGATAATGTCCAAATGTATACTTTACCTTTTTCTTTTGAGGGTTTTTCTGTCTTCTTTGTCTTCTTCTTGTCCTTCTTTTTCCTCTTTGCCTTGTCTTTTTTCTTCTTCTTCTTCCCATCCTTGTCCCTCTTTCTACTCTTTCTCTTCCTTTTTTTCCTTCACCTGAGCTGAAGTCTGATTCCAGGCTTGAGTCCAAATCCGAACTACCCAGAGAATCAGAGGTAGATTCTGAGCTGGAGCTTGACTCAGTCTTGGACTCCTCAGCTGGGTGTCCCGTTTCCACCTCACAGACATCTTCAGTAGCTGAATGACAGACAAAAAGCAAACAAATAAAAAAAAAAAAACAAACAATTCTACAATTCTAGATGTGACATTTATTAGACCAGATTTATGCACTTTTATGAAAACTACACACTATTATAGAATAATAATAATAGAATAATCTTTTTGTATCATAAGTGCTTAAGGCAACTCTGATGAATGTGGATACACTGACATTTGCCTGTGTATACCTAAAAAATAATAATAATAATAATTAAATAATAATAATAATTAAAAAATGACCATAATAAAAAAAAAACACTATTTTATTTTAACTGCTTTTGGGCTTGAACCAGCCAACTAGAAGCACA